CCTGCCATGGCAGGGGGTCGGACTAGATGATCTTCTCAGGTCCCTTCCGACCCTAGAAACTATGAAACTATGACTTTCAATTTTCCATGTAAATGCAATTTTTAATTAGCATAATCAGCAAGTGGAAAATTTTCTTTGTGACCATACACCCTTTTTCACTTTTTCTCCTTTGGCACCAGAGTGCCATATGATCATAAAAAAAATTGGTGTATCTTCAGATATGCTAATATCAGTCTGTGGACATCTGCTAAGAAAATAAAAATGCAAAAAGACAAAGTTAGTTTAATCAAGCTACACACATTTGGTCTTTGGCAGCTCAAAATACAGATAAGTTAGCCTGTATTAGATTTTTATTAAAGCAGAAGTTTGCAAAATAAAGACTAATCTTTATGATCATGCAAAAAAATCCATTCATTTTCTACAAATACTTCATGCTTTTAAATGTGATCTACAAATTAAGCAAGGACAAAGTTATTAATGTTATTGCAAGCAGGTCAATTAGAAATGCTTTGTAAGATCTGACAAAATATTGTAGCTTTTATGGTGGCTGAAAAAAACTTTCTAAATAACCTATTAATCAAAGTTCACTTCATTTCCAGTTTGCTAAACTCTTAAGCCCAAATTCACCTCCTCTTTAGGTGTGCCCTACATGTCCAACTTATACAGCTAGAGTTGGACATGTAGGGCACATCCAGATGAGCAGGCATGTGTGGTATGTGGCATCACAGATCCATCTGTGGTGGCACACATGCAGGCATTCCCTGTGCTGCTAATTTGCAGCATGGGGGAGGAGGGGTTGACACCGGGGGATCCCAGTGGCAAGATACCCCATGTCTATGAAAAGTGGGGTGGTGCATATGGCAACAGCACACTGTCCCCAAAATGGGAGTCTGACCAGCTGGAGCCAAGTTCTGGCTATTGGCCAGGCTCCCTGCTGCAGGATCACCACAGTTCATGTACCTGCTCATGGAGATGGACCAGTAAGCGGCATTTTGGGACAACTATGCCACTAGGTCCTACTCCCCACTGCACACCTCGCTTCAACTTTCTGAGTGGGCTCTGGTCCAGTTGCATATACACTGTTGCAATCCTGTTACACTTGGGAGGGTGTAACTCTGTGCAAGTCTTCAAAATGCTAATTGCAGAAAAAACATGACCAAGTAGAGGAAAACACAGGTTATAGGCCCTTCTCAGCCGTAAGTAAAGCTGGTCTACTGGGTAAGATAAATGGGGCCAGAACAAGAGCAAGCCAGGGAGAGTCTAGTTCTGTGGCTCAGTGAGATGGTCACTACCATGGAAGAAAGGCGGCCTTGGCTTCTGCCATCTGCCCCACTGACATTGAACTGTTTTTCATTGAAGCCATGGCTAAAATGCATAGACAGCAGGAGCCAGTTTCTTCACCTCCACACAGTTACTAGTTGTGACTTCCCTGCAGCTAATATTTCAGGGACTTACATGGTGTTGTGTAACTTACTGGGTGAAACAGGACTTAAAATCTGTATAAGTGTCATTAAATGCCACTCACATGGCTAACTTTAGCCACATAACTGACACTTAGCTGCCTAAAGATACAATTTGACAAAAAATGTAGATATTTATAAGGATATGCAGCTGCCTTTGCAAATTTTCCCACATATGAAGCCCAAGAGTAAAATTCTGAACCAAGATTACTTTATTGATACTTTAATGGTCTGCTGATTCAGAAGTTCCAGGATATAAACTTCAAAATATAAGTTATTTATATAAACCAGCTGGTATTGTTTCTAGCAGCAAAGTGGTTGACTATGGAACTAGCCAATATAGCATATATTTAAGATTTTAGGTAGCTTCTTGATCGCTGTTGTTCTCAGTATTCAGCCTGCTGGGGTCTGCATGCTCCGGGAGGCCATTCCCCGCAAGCAGCTTCCTGGAGCCTAGGTGCAATGCAGAAAAATGACTCAAACTTGTGTTCAGTGGCAAAAGCTCAGGGAGATTTATTGTCGGTTGGACAGCACATCAGCTGGTCTGTTTAGCAATCAGACCAGAACAATGGTAGAAATACTGTGTGTTAATTACACTCCCTTAGGTCACTACAAAAAAACCAGTCTTGGGGCACCTATGTTTGTCTCTCAAATACCCAAGTTTTCATGCTAATGTTTATGTGTCTTTCTGCCAAGATACCCATTTCTACTTGGCTCTTTACCAAGTTCGTACATGGCCCCTTCATTTCTTCTATTATTTCAACATCTGTCCTCATTAATTTTATTTTGCTCCTACTATCCCCTTGTCCTACCAGCCACCCTACTTGTTAGTGTGTTTGTGTTTTTTTACATTTCTTTTGAAGTCATTCAGAGGTCAGTGAGGCCTTTTCTTCCCAAACTCCCTTTCAGAGCCTTAGCTTAACCATGGCTTATCATAAACGAAAGTCATACATGGGGCTTCTCATGGGCTGGGTGATATACCACCAGATCTGGCGTGTAGAGCTTCTCACTCTGGCTGCTAGAGAAATCAATAACCAAAACTACTAAATTGAGTGGTGGTATGTATACCTTGGGTGCTGTCTGCGCTGATACTGTGATTTCAGCACCCACAGTGACAGCAGTTGAGTAGTGGCAACATTAACTACTTGGTTGGTGGCAGTTGCAACAAAAAGCCCTGCAGGCTAGAAGACTCACTTCCCCAGTCTGGATGCAGCCAACAAACTGAATGTTTGACATTCCTGCTCTAATCTAACATTGTGTTCTGTTAAAGCACAATTGAATATGAACCTTGAAAAGGTAAAAGATCTTTTATTTGTACAGTTTGTCTCCTGAGCAGGTGTGTGGAAGCCATCAAGTACTCAGCCAGACTCCTGCTCAGCTCCTATATTTGGCAGATACGGTAAGAAAGGACAAGGTATTCTGGCTAGCTGCATTACAGATAATTTATCTCTAAAAGAAAACTAGCAGTTACTAGAGCTAATCAAAATCCCAATATCTTGGCTTCCTGGCTAATTGCTTGGGACTCAGTTCTTTGTATCTACTGATCATTGAATGCATATACTACTAATATAATGATAATAACAATAGCATAACCAGGCTTGGGAACTACAGGCCTATTTCCCTTTAAATTTGCCTCTATTGCTGCATATTTTTAGACATAACAGCATGCTTCGACTTGATAATAGTTCCTTTGAGATCCTTTTGTAACTCAACCCTGCAGGCATTATCCTAAAGGATAAAACATGGTTTCTGTATTTGCCTTTTTCAGTATGAACAAACCATCTGTTTTCTCTCCTACACAAGCAATGCTATCAAAGGACATATATAACTACTATAACATGATCTAAAAGGAAAACAACATTTGCTTTTTTCAAGCAACATAAATAACATTGAAAGTATATGAACATCCATGGCATACACGTACATATACAGAGTAGTAATTTAACTAGTGCAGTGCTAATCTTGATGTTTACACTGGAGGGAGTTTAAGTCAATTCTGTTATGGCGTCTTGTAGCTGCTATACAAGGTTAGTCAGATTTTTGGCTGAGGGACACATGAGAAGGAACCTTCTTGCCCAACTTTCCCCTTATTTCCTCCTCACATTAGCCTTCCCTTGTTCCCACTTCCCACTCCTTTACGATTGGTTCCTTTTCTCAGCCCTATTTGGACATCTCCTCAAATTATCCCCAATTTCAGTGGCAGCAGTGGCTATCAAGAGATAATCACTCAAGAGAGGAAAAGATTGGCTGAGAATCTGAACCATTTCAGTGAAAACAGAAGATAAGCCATGCAATAAAAAAACACAGAGGGAGAGCCCCCTGTAACCAGCCCACCAGAACTCTTATTGTTCAGTGATACTGTGAAGGGCATGTGGCTACCTATTTGCAACTGTCCCTCCTCCCTTCTTGCATTTTTCCTCCTTTTTATTAATCCCTACCTCATTTGTACCATTTATGGAATCAGCAGTGCAACATATGGAAGACCTAATGAGACATCTCTGTATTAAAGGAAAACTGTTCCTTACAAGTATAGTGTACTCTATACTTTCCTTTCTCCTTTTCATATGAGTTGAACCAATTCTTACCTTTCTATTCCCCCCCCCCCCCAACCAGCTTCAACCCTGCTGGCTCATTCTTTACCAGAGACTCCTTAGTATATAATTAAAGAGAATGGCTACTTTTAATTATTTCTGTCTACCAGGGCCTCTACTGAGTACGCACACACCAGATACCCCCTGAGGTCACAAGATCCATAAGCCTGGTCAAATGCCCCCCAATGAATCACAAGACAACCACTCTCTCTCCAATCTCTCAGTTCTCATCCTCAAATGGAATTTACAAAACACCTTTTGGAAATGATCCTATGAACTTCACTTCATAAATCTACCGGATAAAAAAAATCATGAACCAAATATAGACACTGGATTTATGGTACATTATAACCTGCCTGCCATCCAATAACCCCAGGTAACCTGTCTGCATTTTAGCAGCTACAGTCTATCACCAATTCAACATCCCCCCTCCTCTCCACCACTAGCATCATGAGCAGCTGCAAGGAGGTGATCCCCCCCATGTGACATTGGTCAGGCCACAATTGGAGAACTGTGTCCAGTTCTGGGCACCGCACTTCAGGAGGGATGTGGCCAGCATCAACAGGGGCCAGAGGAGGGCCACTCTCACGATCAGGGGGCAGCAGGGCAGGCCCTATGAGGAGAGGCTATGGGACCTGAACCTGTTCAGCCTCCACAAGAGAAGGCTGAGGGGGGATTTGGTGGCCATCTATAAACTTACCAGGGGGAACCAGCGGGGAATGGGAGAGACCCTGGTCCCCCAAGCACTACCGGAAGTAACTAGGAATAATGGCCACAAGTTGATTGAAAGTAGGTTCAGGCTAGACATCAGGAAGCACTACTTCACAGTCAGGGTGGCTAGGATCTGGAACCAACTTCTAAGGGGAGTGGTGCTTGCTCCTACCTTGGGGGTCTTCAAAAGGAGGCTAGAGAGTCACCTAGCTGAAGACATTTGATCCCAGCATTCATTCCTGCCCATGGCAGGACTTGCTGATCTGCTCAGGTCCCTTCTGACCCTAACAACTATGAAACAACTATGAAATCTGGCTCACCCTTATTGTGTCCCATGGCCTCTGATCCTCACTGGCAGGCATTTGCATTTTCACAAATCTGTATTTTGCATATTGGCTTTTATGCTACTCAGAAGAACACAAAATACCAGCAGACTCTACCTGTGCCTGAAGAAGCGTGTCTGTGGCCAAAAGTTTGCAGATAACATTTTTTCAACTATTTAGCTGGTCTAATAAAAGATACCACATTTACCCAAAGAAGCTTGTGTGCCTATGTCCTTAGACCAACAGGGCTACAACCAACACCCTGAAAATGAATGGCACACCTATGGAAATGTTATTTTCTTCTTAATATTTTTCTTACAGTGTGTGAAATACAGTACTATTTTTACCTTTGGCAGAATGAACAACAGAATCCATGTGCCTTCATAGCTAATTATTTAAAGATAGCTGGATCTTGGAATCACAGAATAGTACTATTGTGAAAATTGTAAGTACCAAATAAACAGGAAAAGTTGTTAAATAATCTATTTCTGAGCAATTAAAGGAAGTGGTTTTATGTGCATTCAACAGAGCTTTGCTAGTCTCTGTACATAGAAAGAAAAGAGCCCTGTCATTTATTTTTTAATAGTTTTCATTTGGCTTAGTTTAAAAATTGCATGTGAAAAGTAAACTGATTCACTTAGATCCTCTTCCTTCACTGATCTGATTGGCACTGACTGATTGTCTGAAAAAATAAAACACAGAGATAAAAAGCATGGTCATGAAGCATCTCCTTAATTATGACATCGTCAGAATGGCTCTGTCCTCCAATGATGCAGGAGACGATAGTGGATATTCATGGAGATGCCCTAGCCCAGAGATTCTCCACCTTTTTCTGTCTGAGTACCATCCCAGCTCCCCAGGTGTACCTGCATGGCCCCGGGTGCAGTGAGTAGGGCTTGGTCATGGGAGCCCTGGAGCCCACTGACCTGAGCAGCAGCAGTGTGGAGCCTCGCCTGCCTACCCACAATGCTGTCTGCAAGATGAAGGCTGTGGGGCTGGATGTGGTGGGCCTGGTATGGGCCCACCCCCACCTCAACCCCCTGAGGCCAAGGCAGCTCCTTCCAGTGCTGGGCCAGGCCAGGCGGACCCCTGAAGCCTGCTCATGGCTCCCCTAGGGGGTCGTGGACCCCCAGTTGAGAGCCGCTGTCTTAGCCCGACCTAAAGTGTAACGACTGTAAATAAAACAGAAGCTAAGCAGGACAGAGCAGAACACAGGGCAATTTACCTGCAATAAAAGCACCAAGCTAAGGGGACTGGGAGAGAGGGCTGGAGCAGGTTCTCTCTCTGGTCTGGTCAGCATTGCAGCTTCATGGGTGTAGGGGAATCACTTCTTCGTCTTGTGAAAAGTCAAAGAGTGATCGTTCCCAATCACCCTTTTTGTAATAATTCTGTTATTTTAAAATCAGAAAAGGCTGGAGATGAACATCTAATTTCAGTCTGTTAAAAAGCCAGTAACTGAAGGAACTGCTCAGCAGCAATTTGGCTTTCTTATTCCTCATGAATGACAAGCTGTCGACAAAAGGCAGTCTAAAATCTAAAAACCACACTTCCAGTGATGACCATACGCTCACAACTCTTTTTTCATTTCTTTTCATACATGCTTCTCGGCCTCTTGAAGGCTCAGATCAAACGTAGTGGCTTCTTAACCTTGCAGGGGAAATACCATGTATCTATGTCCAAGAAGGCAGTTTCCCTGAACTGCCTCGCAGGAGAACTGCTCTTCTGGTGTGGTTCAGTACCTGCCAAGGTGCAGCGGCTTTAAGCCCAGTTTATGCAAATGGGAGTCTCCTCCCTTGCTTGCTCCGGGGGCCGTATGGCTAAGGGCAAGCAAAACTTGATGGTATCTGAACCCCAAGCCTCCAGGCTTGGGCCTGCAAGTAGGATGCCCATCAAAGGTTTTGGAAACATCTGAAGCCCCAGGTGTGGGTGGAGGATGTTTGCCGGTAGTAGGGCCACTTATGGTTCTGGACTCTTGAATTTGGAATTAGTTTTGGCTAATTTGGCCTCAGATACAAATTTAAATATATATAGATATAGATATATTTTTCATATACTCACATGTCCCAAGTATGGTGTTTCTCACAGATGCCTCAGTGTGATACTAGGGATGCACTAAGGGAGACCACAAAAGAGCTGAGTGGAGTGCTGTGGCAGAGCATGCCTCCTGAAAGCAGCATCACATGCGAGAAGGAAGCTTCAACACAAAGAAAAGTGGAGAGAAAACTGACAGAAAGGAGCTGAGATAGTGGTGTTATGAACCTATCCAAAGGCATGAAAAGAAATATCAGGTTACCTGGAAATATTTCAGGCTTCCCTGAGCAGAGCAGAAAACAGAAGACAAACTCAAGGCAGAGGACGGGGAGGGGGGCGGGTAGTGAGGGGGCATGGGAGGGATGGCCAAGACTTTAGGCTTTTCTACTAAAGCAACTGAGTGAAAGACAGGAACAATTCTATCCCTACACAGAAATAAGAAACAGCACAGGAGACAGAGTGCCCAACAAACTCAAAGATTCAATCCAGTAATTATATGGTGCTCAGTTTCTCTGATGCCTACTAGATGGCCTAGGATTTGAACATCTGAGTTTAGGGACCTAAAGTCTGTATCTTGAGCACAGTACCATACTTCATCCAATGCAGGAAGTAAGCCTGAAGTACTTAGCCAGAACACTTTTGCAGAGGTTTTAACTGAGACTATGCAGGAAAATAACTCCCCCCAAAAATTACCAAAGCAGAACTCATCTAGCCCAAGGACACCAGATAGGATTCAGTTCAGGGTAGCCCTGGTTTCTGAAGCGGATGGACAGCTGCTGACAGATTTGGGCAAGATGCTGAACAAAACTGGTTGCTGAGCATGCAGACAGGTTGCCAAAGCAAATGGTCTCCAAGCTCCCTGAATAACTGGAATAGAAGAAGGGGAAAGAATAGGACCCCACCAAGGCATGTGACTCCTAGGAGATGGCTTTACATTGTTTGTGCAAAATCAGAACCCTCTGAATCAGTTCAGAGAGATTTGGAAAGATTCTGCAATTTGGACATAGACACAGCTTTAAATGTTTTCTACATACCTCTAGGTAGCAGGCGGCTTGTGAATGCTGCAATGCTGGGGTGGATGCAATGTCCCACAGAAGCACAGAGGGCCCCCACATGCTCGGCATCTTCAGATTCAGATTTGGCCAAATCGAATCAGGGACAGTGATCCAAATCAATTAATCAAATCACTGTCCCTGATTCAGGCTGAATCCAAATCCAAATTGAATAGGGCCTGCTTCACACACCCCTAAATGCAACATATTTTTCTCCAGGTGAAAAGAGACCAGGAATTTTATTAATATGCTAGGAGCCTAGGGCATTATTATTCAGCTAGCCAATTGCCCATCATGAATAACAGAGCATTTCAGGGAGAGCTTACATGCCCCTCACCATACACCCTTTGGGGCCAGCCATGTAAACCAGGGGCAGGCAATTATTTTGGGTGGAGGGCCACTTATCAAGTTTTGGCAAGCTGTCAAAGGCCGCATGGGTAGTTCTGCCCCTTGGCACGTGCCCCACCCCCTAGTCGCCATCTTGTGACCAGAAGTCCCACCCCCTAACCCCTGACATTTGCCACCAGAAGTCCATCGTTTTGCTCCCAGAAGTACTCTTTCAGCAACAGGTTGTGCCATCTTGGAACCAGAAAAATACCAAATAATATTCTAAAAAGAAAATATCTACAGCATTCATTAATCTGATTTAAAAAAATATTTTTTTCCTGCTTTACATGCATTTGTGTAGTGCACATAGAGGTGATTGCACAATAGATTAAAATGAAGTTTTACTCTTGTATATTGTGGGGGGTGGGTATAGGTTTGTGGGGGGCTGTGGGTGTGTGGGATGAGGGAGCATGTGGGTGTGTGTGTGTGGACATGTGGGGTGTGGGTGGGTGTGGGGTTTGTGGGGAAGTTTGTGTGTCAGGGGAGGGTGCCTGGGCTGTGTGAGGTGGTGTGCATGTGAGGGTCAGCATGTATGGCAGTGTGAGGGGTGTGTGGGTGCATATGTATGGTGGGGAGTGCATGTGGGACTCATCCTATGAACATACACACACCCCAACACACTCTGCCCCTGGCTGCACACCCACCCACCTACTCTGCCCCTGGCTCCACAACCACACCCACCCAACCACTCTGCCCCTAGCTGCACACTCACATCCACCTACCCGCTCTGCCCCTGGCTCCACAACCACACCAAGCCACCTACCCACTCTGCCTCTGGCTCCACAACCACACATACCCACACCACACACCCCCACGACACATACCCATACCCATACCAGACACATACCCTTCCAGTGGCTCTGTGCTTCCTGCTCCTGCAATGCAGCTGGGTCGCGTGGTACCAACAGTGCTGGCAGGCAGGGATTGCAACTGCTGGGGATGGGGTGGGCTGGGATGCTCAGTCCTTCTGAGGCTCCTCCTGGGTCCTACCACCCCTGTCCCCTATCAGCTTTGACAGGAGCCAGGGCAAGACAATACAGTTTTAAAGCCTCAGGGATCCCTCTGCCTCTAGTTCCCTGCCTGAGGGAGCTGGGCCCATGTAGCCAATTGCCATCCACCCTCTTCGGGGCACATGTGTAGTTGGTCTCCAGTGTTACAGACAGATAGACACACAGACGGAAGTACTAAGCCTTTTATTATATTAGAATTTTGGATCAAGGAAAAAAACCCTGTATTGGAATATGCATTAATTTGCTATATCACACATTATTTATTAAAAAACACAACAAACTAGGCAAAAATACTCAAGATATGTTGTTTAATTAGTCCTGCAGTCATTAGAATTAAATGTACATCTCTTTCAGCTTCATAAAACAAAATCAAGCCTTTTTGAGCTGCTTGACAGTGCATCCAGTACTTCACACAAAGTTATTCTGATGCCTGAGTTGTTCTCCCAAGTTGTTTCCACACCTGATTTAATGTTTTAGTTAGGATTAAAAACAGTCTTCAGAGCTGTGAAATAGGAGCTATGTTACCAGCAGCAGCTGACAGCAGAATTAAAGAAGAAAGGATAGATTGATTAGGGAAATATTAGGACCATTAAAAAAGAAGAGACGGTCATTGACACCTGTGGAATGAAGAGTTTAGAAGGAATCAGGTAGATTATAATGAGCTCTGAAGTCAAGTGACACCCTCACTGCTGCCTGAAAAGAAATGTTTCTACCATTGCTAGGCAGTGGGCATATCTACACATGCAAATAATCTGGGAGCAGTTTACTCAAAAGTACTCTAAAGTAATTCTTCCAGGCACGCGTCGACACATGCAGAGACGTGGGAACAGATTAGCTGCTCCTAGCAGCAGACTTCTTCAGGTCCATGCAGTCCTTCACTGAGCCCCTGCAGCAGCCAGGGGAGAGCTCTAGGCTATGGAGGGGCTCTTCTAGGCTATGGCCCAGGAGCTGGAAGGGAGCACGGGGCGGGGGCGGGAACATTGCTTCCTGCTGCCAGGATGGGCCTCACCACCAGAACCACAGCAAGGACAATGTCCCTCTGCCCTTGTAGGAGGGAGCTTCCAGCTTCACGTCCATGGTCTTGGGGCCAGGGGTAGAGATCCTTATCTCCCAGCACCAGCTCCATGATCAAAAAAATACACACACAAAAAGGTGGTGTACCCAAAACCAGAGCCTGGCCAGCTGGAGCCATTGTCTGGCTGCCGGGCACGCTGCAAGCAGCAGGATCACTGCTGCTACATCCCTAGGAGACCTCCAGGACCCCACGTAAGGCTGCTGAAGCCAGGCCAGTGCTGGCTCCAGCCTCCCCTATGTTGCATAAATTGCTGATTTTATCCCCTGGA